GTAGATTCGGAAATAGAGGCAAATTTTCGCAAACCGTAGATTATACATGTATGCTTGTTTCTTGAAAAAGATGATAAACGTTCGTCTTTTACATACTTCATTGTCCTATTCATCTATTCACTTAGATCATTATATGATTCATCATCATCATCTGTAAATGAATTTTCATTAATAACAAATTTTAGTAATGGAACAATATGAATTTTCACTTCTGTGATTTGTTCTCAATTATAATAAATAGTTCAATGATGATCGAACCGATTTTCACTCGAATTCTTATATATAAATTAGTAGTTTGAAAAATTAAATATATTTTAAAGCGTCAAGGTCTCATTAATTTCTGAGATGAGTTCAATTATGAGTTCGTACAGGAGATTCGAACTGACATTTGTTCTCATGCACGGCACCCGATTCGGTTAGAAGATACTAGTCTCAGATAGCTGATTGAAAGATTTTTTTTCTAAAGTTGATCCGATTTGAAGGCGTCATTGAACACTGTTTTGAGAGGTCGTGACGAAAACAAATAGAGTAAAACGCTGAAACTTCACTTGATAAAAACGGATAATTTTCGAGATTGGCAGTCAGCCTTGCTCGAGATATCTCTCTATATGTCGGTTCGTTATTTATTTCTCTTGCTTGCTACATAATTCGTATTTTTCTTCTTCAAAACCAAACTTTTATGTAATAACATTGTCATATTCGAAATTAGTGTAAAAAAACTGAGTTGACTGATATAGATATTTACTATTTTCAAGAATTTCAGTTTTTTTTTCGATTTTCATCTGCGATGAAAGCGGGCATTGTTATCGAAAGATGAAAGATAACAAAAGCCTTGAACATAAAAAGCACACATTAAACTTTAGTATCTTCTAGCAGCTGACAGGTTGTCAATCAAATCGAATGAATTTTATTCTTCAATCCTATAAGAAAAAACATTAAAATCAGAATGTTTCTTACAATATATCAAAAATTCTTTCTTTTAATAAACCAATTTCAATGCTCTCTATCCAATAGCAATATCATTTACCAACAGATAAGTGACTGTTTTCAGTATAATTTATGATAAATTCTTTGGTTCAATAAGAAACTTATTTTAGATTAAATGATTGTGTGAATGAGTTCAGTTTATTTGTATAACACTTGAAATGACATAAATAAAAGCAAAGATAATACGAAGAAGAGGGAAACAGAATTATGTAGCAAGCAAGAGAAATAAATAACGAACCGACATATACAGAGATATATCGAGCAAAGCTGACTCTCGATCTTAAAAATCTTCCGTTTTTATTAACAGGAGTTTCAGCGTTGTACTCGATGTTTTTTTTTGTCATAACTTCTCAAAACAACGTTCAATGACGCCTTCAAATCTGATCAACTTTAGAAAAAAATCTTTCAATCAGCTATCTGAGACTAATGTCCTCTAACCGAATCGGATGCTGTGCATGAGAACAAATGTCAGTTCGAATCTCTTGTACGAACTCATATTTGAACTCATCTCAGAAATTAATGAGACCTTGACGCTTTAAAACATATTTACTTTTTCAAACTACTAATTTATATATAAGCATTCGAGTGAAAAACGGTTCGATCATGATTGAACGATTTATTGTAATTGAGAACAGATCACAGAAGTAGAAATTCATATTGTTCCATTACTAAAATTTGTTATTAATGAAAATTCATTTACAGATGATGATGATGAATCATATAATGATCTAAGTGAATAGATGAATAGAACAATGAAGTATGTAAAAGACGAACGTTTATCATCTTTTTCAAGAAACAAGCATACATGTATATATCTGTCATATCGAAGTTATACCGGTCGACAAAGTTATAACTTTGTCAACAATTTTGTCGAAGTTATTTTTTACACATTTATTGATAAATAATTTTATTGAATTGAATATTCGGCTACTGAATCTATGATCAAAACTAAACATTTTCTAACAAATGTATATTTATTTAACAAATTTGTTAAATAAATATACATTTGTTAGAAAATGTTTAGTTTTGATCATAGATTCAGTTGCCGGATATTCAATTTAATAAAATTATTTATCAATAAATGTGTAAAAAATAACTTCGACAAAGAAATAACTTTGTCGACCGGTGTAACTTCGATACGACATATCCACGATTGCAATCGTTACCACCAATACTGTGTTTCTTTCCAATGTCTTCAGTAACAAAGAAATGTATTCTTAGCGATATCAGTCAGATTTTAGTAGCACAAAGACACCAAATGATTCACTTGCATATTTTTAACATTTCATATAATCCTTTTCTTTTATTACTTTTAACGGAAGAAACTGAACAGTATAATTTCTCATATAAAACAATAGCTTGAAAACTATACTCTTAATGTGATAATGTTAATCAGAGGCCCATTAGCTTCGGTGCAGGTTCGGCTTCGGTTCGGATATAAAAAACAGAAGTGCCGGTGTGAATCCAATTTCGAAAAGTCATACCCGTGCCGGACACTACTGGAGTTATCGACTTCCTTCAATTATAGCGATGTGGAGACACATGTGAGCATATCTTTATATAAGGATACTCCTCAATACCAAGTACGACGTAATGGAATATATTAGGTAAAAATCAAAATCCGGAATACGATTCGTAGACATTTTTTAATATTTGTGCATGTCCTAGAATTTTTTATGTGAAAGCTTAATATGCACAAATGATAAACATAAAGTTTTTCTTCTTTATTATCAAATCAACATTTTGAGTCACTGAAAAAATGTTCTCTTTCACTATACAGGAGTAAACAACATCATGTGTCATCGTTCTTACACGTAAGAGTAAAAAGCATTTGCATGTAAAATAGTAATAAGGAAGAAGAAGAGTAATATAAGGTAGGTAATATTCATTAAAATGACATAAAACGTCAAATAGACGAAAGTGTTTCATTCGAATGGAAAAAAAATTTGTTTTCTCCCTTTTAACGATTATGAGAAATCAGACTGTCATTACTTACATTTGTATGTTATACACCTTTACGACATGGTGTACTTTCATGTATTTTTCTTAATAATTAGAAGTGATCTGTATGTTTTTTCCCATATTCCTTTGCAAGCTGGACTCAATCATCCGAATCAAAAAGACACATTTATTCCATGATTAGTCAATGGATTTTCCCATGGCTTCCAAAAGCAGGTTATAAAAGTGTAAAAATATTTGATTCATTAGTAAAAGTTAAAAAATGACGTATAAAATGTTACTATTCATATGCATTGTATTCTCTTATATTTATTTGATATCTGGTACTACATATAAATGTGATCCAAGTATTTCATGTGGTTGTTCAGTATCAACCACCAATGTTACATCGCGAATCGTTGGTGGAGAAACAGCATCTGATTATGCATGGGGTTGGATTGTTTCCCTTCAATTGTTAGATGGACATATATGTGGTGCAAGTCTTTTAACACCTGAATATGCTGTAACAGCTGCTCATTGTGTACATGATTTTATGAATTATATATCTAGGTTTGAAATTCTTGCTGGTACTAATTATTTAAATGATGCATCCATTCCAACTATTCAACGAAGATCAATCATTAGTATTACTATGCATCCTAAATATGATCCAAACACTGTTGAAAATGATATTGCTATTCTTAAATTTTCTCCACTTACAATATCTTCAAATTCTAAAATAACTTTTATTTGTTTACCAAAAGAATATGAAGATCCATTTCAAACGAATAATAATCTTGTAGCTATTGGATGGGGTTACTTATTGGAAGACGTTCAGGATGTATCGAATTCTCTTCAACAAGTAACAGTTCAAGCATATTCATCAACGTCAAATGAATGTCAACAATCAGGTATGGCCAATCCATCAGTGCAATTTTGTGCGGGAACTATGGCTGGTGGTAAAGGTCTGTTTCTATAATATATGATAATTTGTAATAAGCTTATTTTATTGTAGATACATGTCAAGGTGATAGTGGCGGTCCATTAATGGCTTTTGTTAATAAACGTTGGGTATTAGCAGGAATAACATCAACAGGCAATGGATGTGCTCGAGTTGGATATCCAGGAGTATATGCACGAGTGTCATCTTTGATTTCGTTTATAAACTCAAACGTCAATTTTCCAAGGACAAACGGAACAACGACTCCAATAGGAGAGACAACGATGATTGAAGAAACAGAAGCTACAACGGTTTCCATGAGACAAACAACAATGTTTCCATCAGTGACATCGCCAAGTCAGCGTAATAATAACCACTCGATTATTCAAGAGAATAATGGAAATATGATAAATAAATCGATAACAGTAGTGATAGTTTGGTTTTCATTTGTAGTATGTCTCTCTTTTTCTTATTGATAATAAAATATATAATATCAATAGTTAATATTTGACTCTATGAAAGATTTTTTAATTTTCTTTTAATTATTTAATTCATTTGACTTTTTTTTGTAACGTATCCAATTTTATATTCTTTAATAAATGCGAATTTATGGCTTGTGACGAGTTAAATAAATTTACAAAGTGAACAGTTATTCTTGGCACTTGAGATAAATAGTTGGTTTTACGTTATAAGTTTATTGTTTGAGCTACAGTCTTTGAGGGCAAAGCTCATATATGAATAGAATTTGAAAATTTTATTAGAAATCAAACTTATTGAATTTGTTAAATTATAAAGCGTGCTTCATACGTTTTTGCTTCATTTTTATTTATTTTTTATCTTAGCTGTATTCAAATATTAACACACAGTGGCTAATATTATTTTGAAGAGTAGCACCTAAGCTATTACCCAAGATGAATCGCAATTAATTTGCATTAATCCCAAGAAGGTGCTGCATCGATGAAAATATTGAAAAAAAAATTCATCAAACTTCATTTTTTTCTGATATTCTGTATAACATATTTATATTAAACATTGTCGTGCTGTTGTCTCCTATATGCACGCGAAAATAAAATTTTCCTACTTAAATACCGTACAATAATAAAAAAAACTACATAAGTGACACATAGTGAATTACTAAGCGAGTGGCAGCTGTCATTGGTAATTGTGACACAGAAAAATTAAACCAAGTAATTTGATGAAATGTTTTCAATATTTTCATCAATGCATAGCACTTACTTAGGGTTCATGGGAATGGATTGCAATTCCTCTTAGATGATAATAACTTAGATGCTACTCTTCAAATATATAGTAAACAATGCTTGTTTACCTTGAAATACAGCGAAGATAAAAAATACATAAAAGGGAGGCTGAAACATGAAACATTCTTTAGTCTTTCTTAAATACAAAAAATGAAATCGTAATTCGAATTCTGAAAACATTACGGAAAGGGAAAACGACAATCGACAAAAGTCGTTCCTGCAAGACATTACCTCGTACCCTCAAAAACAATCAGACCCCTTGCACCGTCAATAGATTGGACTTTAATATTAGGAATCAAAATAAAACTATATCACATATTTTAGAAATTATTAAGAGCTAATACTTTCATTTCATATTGGCGATAGATAAGCGTCAGCGCCAGATTTTAGTCCGAAGATAAAGTCTTCATCTCTCTTGAATCAAGACTTCTTAGCATTATATGGTAATAAAAACGAATCGTTTATATCTCACGAAACGAGAGGTATTCGACTACAGCAAAGAAAGTTACCGAGACCAAGGCTGAAAGTCGTGTATGTGGTTAAATATTATATAGTTCTGAGGAAATTGTCTTATAAGTGATATAAATAAGAACAGAACTGAAGAGTGATGACCTAAAAAAATTGCTAATCGCCTAGTAAATATAGAAAAAAAAACACGAGTATATATTAATTATTTTAGATGCGATACGAATAAATTCTGGAAAAGTTATTTCTAGAACGAGACCAGGATCAATAGAAAAGAAGTTTCAGAACGAGACAATGACTGAGACGAAAAGACTCGGTTCCGTGCATCTCTACTCAAGAATCACCTTGTAAGAGAAGCTTAAATTTGTTACCGGAGTAATATTGGCTGTTAACAATAGTCATTCTCAAGTTTAGCAACTCGACTCGAGGTCGGGTTCCAGTTCAACATTGCCGAATCGCGTCGTTGTCGCGTTGAATTTAAAAATTTATCGGGTTTTAGTCGAATTCTATTTATATATAACTGTACTCATGTCCTCTATTTTTGCGCAATCAATTGGATTATGTTCAAGATAATTCACTAATATATGCGAAATTTCTTTGGTAAATGAAAAATAAACATTTTTTAAAATATTTTAATATTTTCGTTGTTGTTATCATTAGGAAATAAGATCAAAAAAGAAAATATGTAAAAAGCCATTCAAAGTGAAGAATATAGACTATTAGACAATCTTCAATAGAAAGTCAAAGCATCATACATCAAGGGTGAATTACTTTTACGATGGTGACAAAACCATTCTTTTACATAAAAAAAGATTAGCTACTTATTACAAGCTTAATTGTTCATATACACACAAGAGAAACTAGTCTAATCATTACAACATTAATATTTTTAGTTTGTCTCAGCGAGCTTGATAGTATCTGAAAGGATTTTTAGTCAAACAGGTGGAATTTTCGAGGCTCGACATCAACAATTATCATCTGATTCACTCATGTTTTTTAGGAGAATTTTGATTTATTCTTTATGAATTTCAACTATGAGGTTAGTATTTTGTTTTATCTTCTTTTTCTTTCTTTATCGTTTAATGCAACTATTTCAAAAAGTTTATACTTTAACTTGAATATGATAGTATACTCTATTGTGACAGTTATTTTTTGTATGAAAATAAATTTTCATGTGTTTTTATTATTTTCATGAACTTTATATACTTTTAGATGCTAAAAATTGAAATAAGGTAATCTACTTGTTGGAAAGAAAAAACGAATGTTATTTGTCGGGTCGAATTCAGATTCGAAAAAATGAACGCATGTAGGGCTCTCGATCATACGAATTCACAATCGCGTAGCTGCTATAGTCCAGCAATCGTATTCAAAAAAGTAAGCATATTTTTTTGGTTATGTCTATAATACGGAACCCAAATATTCACAAAACACAAAAGATAATTAAAAGATGTTAATCTTATTGCTTGTTCGTATAAGTCATGATACTGCATCTTTTTAGAAGACTTTTTGGGTTTCATCGAATTCTACTCGTAGCCTAAATATGATATCAAATGATGTTCTTTTGCCAGACCTTTGCTTATCATACGAATGAAATTGATAATATGAAAAAAAAGAAACAATGGTTTTTTTTTTCATGGTACATTACATGCACTGGAATCTTAATGAAACCTATAACTCGATAGTAACATTTTTTCCATTCAATGGATTTCATTTTCATTATATGATTATAACGTAAAGCATGTGTAAGACTTCTTCTAACATACTCTTTCATTTCAATGAATGAGGACAGATTCAAATTTAATATAAAAAATTGCATGAAATTCAAATGAAGTAAAACGTATTGACTTTTATTACAAAAGAAAAGCACGGAGTCAATTCTTTTCAAAGAACAAAAGCATACTTCTATAAACCAGTGTTTTGTCCAGCATGGAGGTTGAAACAATGACGCCTCTGAAGAGATCGGACTCACTCTCTTGAAATTCTGAAACACTACTGTATATTATGTGTTAACCCTATCGAAAGTAGATGTTCACCCCTCCAAAGTTCGAATCGCTCTATCAGCAGAGAAAATCTGAAAGAAAAAATACTGCTCCAAACAACGGCATCACACTTCTTCATATGCTTGCTTAGCCCTTTAATATCTTTCTTAATTGTCTTTTGTGCAATAATTATAATAATCTTACTGAAAGTACTTCATTTTTCTCTACATTCTTTGAAACTTCCCAATACGTCACAGTATTTCTTAGTACTTCTCAATATTTCTTCGTATTTCTACATGTCTGCAACTGAAAGTAATTTTGAAGTATTTAGCTTTATATGGCTTCATATGTCACCTAATGAAACAGAAAATAATGATTATGTAGAAAAATAATTTGCTTAAATCAAAACAGATGATTCGAAGATAATAAATCTCTTAGTACTTTGACTATAATATGCTTTTTGCATTTATATCTATAAATCTGATTTCTTTTTCAAAAGATCTACGATCGAACTCATTTTTAAAGAACATATACGAAGAAAACTAAACAAAAAATATTCAATACTTACACGCAGACAAATTTTCTGCACTGAAGAAACTGATTAACAGAATAATAGTATTTTATAGATTTTAATAATTGCTATCAATGATTACATATTTACCAAATGGTATATTTACATTTAAGATCTCGATCGTTTTTTTTTATTAGTTTACAGACTTTCAAATATTTTCTTGTTTGATTCTCTTCGTTCGTAGAAACAGCTTTTGAACTCTGGACCTATTTTCATCATGATAAATAATGACTACAGTATCGTTTCGCATATAATATAGCATTACAAGTTTGAAAAAAATTTGTATTCATGATCGCAGCTCGTCCTTCATATCAAACAGCAAAATGTTTTCTTAATATAGTTCGACAGAATCACTATGACGGTGAAGTTGAAATACTTTATTCAATGAACAGTGTTTTTTTATGTTAATGTAGTATTATATTGACAAAAGAATTAATTACGGATTATACAAATGGCATTATGTAATGACGATTAACAATCTACCGACAATCATCGGTAACCATATCAAACACAATAAGTTCTCTTTTATCTTGAGGATTTTTTACGTGAAAATAAAAGAATTTCCAAAAGTAAAAATATATTATGTATATTTACTTTATATGTCATCTTGAGATCTTTCAAATATAAGAATCTCTTATTTTAGCATTGGTTGTTTCATATTTGGAAATTATAATTATGATTGAAGCTTTAATTCTTATTAAAAATATTCGAATAATAAATTACATTTCTATTTCAATCAAACAACTTAAATCTGAATTAATTTTCTATTGATTTTATTTATGCGAAGAGAAAATATGAATATAAACCAGCATTAGAGTCCATTAATGAAAGATATAGAAACAAATCAAAAGGAAAGATCACTCATATATTATGAATTGTTATATTAAACTAACTCAAAAAAAAAGGACAGAATATTTTGAAGCATTTCATTATTATAATAAAGATGTTAGAGAAATTTCTCCTGGACTAAAATGTAAAACATGATGTAGATCCAATTGCTGATCATAGGGAGATTATTTTTGTGTACTCAAAAAGTGAGTACAGTCTAGAATCGGTCAGTATGTCCGGCCGTCCGGCCCTTTACAAGATAACTTTCGAAAGGAGAGTCAGACCATGATGAAATTTTCTACACAGTTTAGTCTCATCAATGTCTCGGTCGAGTTCGAAGATGAGCCTGATTGGAGGAGCTCTTCCTGAGTTATTGCAAAAATACTGATTTTTCCCTATGATCTCTTACGCGAAAATCGACCTATACCCGCTTTCATAAAAACCTTTTCCTATCATAGTCAAAAGAAAACCCCAAGTATTATATACCATTCGATAGAGAATTTCACGAGCTACAAAATGGTATATAAAGCATTAAAAATTTGAGCTTAAACTTTTGGGCCAAGGAAAGAGTTTTTGAGAAAATAGCGATATTTTATGAAGGTTGGCGAAAGCAAATCGGGGTCGAAAAATCTGAATCTAAAGTGAGATTTTGAAAATTCTGAACAAAAGTTGTTGGGTTAAGGAATCGTTTCTAGACTTTTTGAAGTACATATAACACTCGGATTTAAATCCGAGGTTTCCACATTTATTTATTTTCTATTTTCAAAAACAATATTTTTCCACCATCGATTTTATTAATGCTAGAGAAATGCAATAAGGAAGTAGTACATATATTGTCACGAGACTTCATCGATGTAAGGTCTTTAATCGTATGTGAATAATATCTGCTGCAGTGTGTTGTGACACAGAGGAGGAAAGTATTGCTAAGATATCTGTAATGTGTAAGATGTATTGTTGCTAAAAACGTTTCTCATGTCTGTCATAGTGTGCAGAAGGGAGACTGTAAACTTTTACTCTTAATGCTTCAACGCTCCTTTCATATTGTGTTTTACAAAGAAAAAGCTTTAAAAAGCATGTAAAAATATTTTTGTCTATTAATAGTTTTCATGTAGGAATATTACTTAGAGTATATCAAAAGTAAGAACATTGACACTAAAATATTGTTTATAAAGCTTGAGAATAATTTATCTTTAGATGTATTAATAGCATAAACACTGCTTTATTTCTTCACTTTTTCATTATTGTTCAGCTATTTTGTAATAATTAAAGATCTTTTTGTTCTATATTAAATTGTACGCTACACTTCTTATTTAACCAAACGTTATTCATGAAAAGATAAGTTTTCTTTTTCGCGTCTAGATATCATCTTTCACAAGAATTAAAAGATGGTCTAAATAATTTCATGAAGTTCGAGATGAAACACAACCTATCATATTTCTAACCAAGGCAGTATCAGAAGATATCGAGTAGATGCAGTTTCCTATTAATGAATATCCTAATATCATAAATGACTAATTACAAGTACAAACCGATCTGAATCATAACTAAAAAATGATGATATATGGAACAAAATATAGAGCATCGTTTTACTTTTCAAATATAGATAGAGAGAAGTTTTCCTCAAGCCACTTCTGCCCAGTTGATATATGATCAAGAATTTGATTATTATGGTTTAGCTTTAAATACTTATCACAAATGTATTTCATGAAAAAATGTAAGTGTTAATCTTAGTATGAAAAAAGTTGCCTTTATCTATGACGATAAAAGAGCATGGACACAAGCCTTGATATATAATAAAAAAATAGCAGATATTTTCTGAAGCACACAACGATAAAAAGACAATGATATTGTTAATCAAAATAAATAAAGTCAAAAAAAGCGGCGAAATAACACAATTGAAAACATATTCAAAGTATTCCTTTTTTTATTAGATACATTAAAAAAATATGTTAACACGATTCTTAAGTGTAGAAATCAATTATGTCATCGAAATGAAAAAAAGTCATTATTAGTCCATTGTGACGATGAACATTTGCTGTATTTATTTTCTTTTACAAAATATCTCTTGTTTCTTACATAAGCGTATCAGCGTGTATGATTGCTTTATCTTACCACAGACTTAGACTCAGACCCATACACATACTCACATTCACACTTATTAATAAAAACATATGTCATGTTCTATACAAGTCTAAAGTACTTTGCCAACATTTTGCACATACAATAATTTTACAACAATAACTCTCTTCAACACACAAGAAAAGTTCAAAAACCTTTTATTTATATTCTTTATACGTACATACAAGAATCTCAACATGAAACATGTAAAAATGAATTATTTAATCTGAAAAGCTAGTTGAGTATTTCTTAGTGGACTCAATTAACAAGCAGCAATGAAAACAATATATTTGAAAATTTCATTTCATTTCAACATTTTGCATTTCTGAACAAGATTTAGATCCATATTCGACATGAAGACAACCATGATGGAGAATTATTCTGTATACAATATCAAAAACACGAATTAAAGCATGACATTACATAGGTATCTGAAAGCTTTTCACTTCTTTTATTTACCATACAAAATACACATTAAACTCGAGTATCTTCTAGTAACTGACAGGTTGTCAATCTAATCGAATGAATTTTATTCTTTAATGCTATAAGAAAAAAACATTAATATCAGAATATTTCTTTCAATAAATCAAATCTTTTCTTTTAATAAATCAATTTCAATGCTCTCTATCCAATAGCAATATCATTTACCAACAAATAAGTGACTGTTTCAAGTATAATTTATGATAAATTCTTTGGTTCAATCAGAAACTTATTTTAGATTATATGATTGTGTGAATGAGTTCAGTTTATTTGTATAACACTTGGAATGACATGAAATAAAAGCAAAGATAATACGAAGAAGAGCGAAACAGAATTATGTAGCAAGCAAGAGAAATGAATAACGAACCAACATTTAGAGAGATATCTCGAGCAAAGCTGACTCTCGATCTTAAAAGTCTTCCGTTTTTATCAAGTGGAGTTTCAGCATTTTACTCTATTTTTTTTTGTCATGACTTCTCAAAACAACGTTCAATCACGCCTTCAAATCTGATCAACTTTAGAAAAAAATCTTTCAATCAGCTATCTGAGACTAGTGTCCTCTAACAGAATCGGATGCCGTGCATGAGAACAAATGTCGGTTCGAATCTCCTGTACGAACTCATATTTGAACTCATCTTAGAAATTAATGAGACCTTATCGCTTTAAAACATTTACTTTTTCAAACTACTAATTTATATAAAAGCATTCGAGTGAAAAACGGTTCGATCATGATTGAACGATTTATTGTAATTGAGAACATATCACAGAAGTGGAAATTCATATTGTTCCATTACTAAAATTTGATATTAATGAAAATTCATTTACAGATGATGATGAATCACATAATGATCTCAGTGAATAGATGAACAGGACAATGAAGTATGTAAAAGACGAACGTTTATTATCTTTTTCAAAAAACAAGCATACCTGTATATATCCATGATTGCAATCGTTTTCACCAGTACTGTGTTTCTTTCCGACGTCTTCAGCCACAAAGAAATGTATTCTTAGCGATATCAGTCAGATTTTAGTAGCATAAAGACACCAAATGATTCACTTGCATCTTTTTAACATTTCATATAATCCTTTTCTTTTATTACTTTTAACGGAAGAAACTGAACAGTATAATTTCTTACATAAAACAATAGCTTGAAAACTGTACTCTTAATGTGAAAATGTTAATCAGAGGCCCATTAGCTTCGGTGCAGATTTGGCTTCGATTCGGATAAAAAAAACAGAAGTGTCGGTGTGGATCCAATTTAGAAAAGTCATACCCAAGCTGGACACTACTTGAGTCATCGACTTTCTCCAATCTAGCGACGTCGAGGCATCTGTGAGCATATCTTTACATAAATATGCTCCACAATACCAAGTATGACGTAATCAAATATATTGGGTAAAAATCAAAATCGAGCATATGATTAGCGGTTGTTTTTTAACACTTGTCCATGTCCTAGAATTTTCTATACAAAAGCTTATTATGCACAAATGATAAATATAGAGTTTTTCTTCTTCGTTATTAAATCAATGTTTTCAGTCATTGAAAAAATGTTCTCTTTCATTATAGATAAGTAAATAACGTAACGCGTCATTATCATTTTTATATGCAAGAGAAAAAGCATTCGCATGTAAAATACTAAGAAAAAGAACGAAGTGTAATATAAGGTATGTAATATTTATTTAAAGTTACATAGAACGTCAAATAGAGGAATATCTTTCATTGGATCGGGAAAAAAGTTTTTCTTTCTACCTTCTAACGGTATCGAGAATCAGACTATCATTAGTCACGTTTGTATGTTGTGCATCTTTATGACTCGGAGCATTTTCTTGTATTTTTATGAAGAATCAGGGGTCAGCTGTATATTTTTTGAAACTTTTCTTTGCAAGCTTGACTCATTCATTCGAATCGAGAAGACACATTGATTGCATGATTAGTAAAGGCAACCTACCGTGACTTCCTTAAACAAGTTATAATAGTGTCAAAACATTTGACTCATTACTAAAAGTTAAAAAGTGACGTATGCAATGTTATTATTCATATGCGTTGTATTATCTTACATTAATTTGATATCTGGTACTACCTATCAATGTGATCCAAGTATTTCATGTGGTTGTTCAGTATCAACCACCAATGTTACATCGCGAATCGTTGGTGGAGAAGCAGCATCTGATTATGCATGGGGTTGGATTGTTTCCCTTCAATTCTTCGGTGAACATCAATGTGGTGCAAGTCTTTTAACACCTGAATATGCTGTAACATCTGCTCATTGTGCAGATGGTTTAATGAATTATATATATCTGTTTTCAATTCTTGCTGGTACTAATTATTTAGATGATGCATCCATTTCAACTATTCAACGGAGATCAATCATTAGTATTACTATGCATCCTAAATATGATCCAGTCACTATTGAAAATGATATTGCTATTTTAAAATTTTCTCCACTTACAATATATTCAAATTCTAAAATAACTTTTATTTGTTTACCAAAAGAATACGAGGATCCATTTCAAACGAATAATAATCTTGTAGCTATTGGATGGGGTTATTTATGGGAAGACCTTCAATATTTATCTAATTCTCTTCAACAAGTAACAGTTCAAGCATATTCATCAACATCAAATGAATGTCAACAATCAGGTATGACCAATCCATTAGTGCAATTTTGTGCCGGAACTATGGCTGGTGGTAAAGGTCTGTTACTATAATATATGATAATTTGTAATAAGCTTATTTTATTGTAGATACATGTCAGGGTGATAGTGGCGGTCCATTAATGGCTTTTGTTAATAATCGTTGGGTATTAGCAGGAATAACATCAAGAGGCAATGGATGTGCTCGAGTTGGATATCCAGGAGTATATACACGAGTGTCATCTTTCATTTCGTTTATTAACTCAAACGTCGATTTTCCAAGGGCAAACAGAACAACGACTCCAATAGGAGAGATAACGATGATTGAAGTAGTAGAAGCTACAACGATTCCAATGACAGAAACAACAACGATTCAAGTAACAGAAGCCACCACGGTCTCAATGAGACAAACAACAACGGTTGCGATGATAGAAGCAACAACGCTTCCATTGGCAAAGACAACGACGATTCAAGTAACAGAAGCCACCACGGTCTCAATGAGACAATCAACAATGATTGCGATGATAGAAGTAACAACGGTTCCAGTGGCAAAGACAACAACGATTCAAGTAACAGAAGCTACAACGGTTTCCATGAGACAAACAACAGTATTTTCATTAGCGACTTTGACTAGTCAGGGTAATAATAACCAATCGAGTACTCAAGGAAATGATGGAAATATGATAAATAAATCAATCACGATAGTGATATTTTGGTTTTTATTCTTAGTATGTCTCTCTTTTTCTTATTGATAATAAAATGTATAATATCAATAATTAATATTTGACTCTATGAAAGATTTTTTTATTTTCTTTTAATTATTTAATTCATTTAACTCTTTTTGTAACATATTCAATTTTATATTCTTTAATAAATACGAATTTCTGACTCTTTAAGAGCTAAGGCCCCCTCCCCCTGTCCTCAAAAGTCGATCTCAGCCCAGGAATACTCGAATTGCATGAAATTTTCAGGATGCGTTAGGGCTACTGAGTTATGGCTATGGTAAAAGTTTCAGCCCTATATCATGACGTTTCACAGAAATATTCATTAAACAACGGTCAAAAATAGCTCTATCGTAGCATGAGGAGAATTCTATCATAGTAAGAGATAAAGTCAAATATTTTTTCTGTTTGAAAGCTTCTGTGTAGGACTAGCCCCTCTCGTGGCCCTTTTCTTAAAATTTTTATTTTTGAAGGGAAGAAAAGGGATGATTATTTTATATACTCAAAAACAACCCTAAAAAAATTGTACTGTTTTTATAGAGGTGTTTCCGTATATGAAAAGAAAAAGGCTTTTTGAAGAAAAAGACCACCAGCAGGACTAGTCCTAGACACAAACTTTCAAACAGAAATACACAGTATTCTATGAAAAAAATCTTCATTCCATTATAAACTTTTCTTACATTTTTCATTTTTTCTGATATATATAAACCCCAACCTAACTTTGTTGTAACAGTAATTCCTAGATATTTGAATTTTCTCACATATTCGATCGGTTGAGATTTATATACTAATTTCGGGTATTTTGGTACAACTACATTGTGTACCAGTATTGCTTTCGTCTTTGCAACATTAACAGGTAAAATATTATTTTCAGCAAATACTTCAAGTTGCTTTAAAACTATACGTGCACGTTCTTCAAGTTCCATTATATTCATCGAAAATTTCTTTTCGAGAGAACTAGTAATAACAAGAGCTAGGTCATCTGCAAACAAGTGGGTTACTATTTGAAAGAAAAACGATGGTAAAAAATGAATATGTAACCTAAATAGCGTAGCAGCAAGGACTGAGCCCTGAGGTGCACCAACCAACATTTTAATGTTTCTTGAAATAGCTTTACCAAAATATATTGAAAAAGAGCGATTTTGTAACCACGAATAAATCCATCGAATAAAAGGTAAAGGCATTCCCAAATCATATAAATGAGTAATCAAGGCCGGAAACCACATACGGTCGAAGGCAGATAAAAAATCTACGAAGATAACTAGAGCAGGACGATTACATGCAGCAACTGTTAACCTTAGATCTTCGATTAACGAAAGGATTCTTGTTTGAAGTCGACGGTTAGGTGAAAATCCAGATTGCTCATCTGTATATATATTATTTAGTCTACACCAATCAAGAATTCTGTGATGTATTATTCTTTCGAACCATTTACCGATATTTGGTAATAAGCAAATCGGTCTTAATTTACCTAAGACAGGGTACATGCCATCTTTAGATAGACAAACAACCTTCGCATGCTTACTTGCCTCAAAAAATGTTCCTTTTTTGGCGCACCTATCAAAAAGAATTGTAATAATTTCCAAATATTTCAAGGGGAGTTTTTTCAGTAAAAAAGCAGACGTATCTATACTATCAGTTGCTTTCTTTGGTAAAAACTTTTTCCATTCTTTTATAACCTCGTCGTATGTAATTTGTTCAAGTGGTATATTAGGTGTATAAGCAATTTGTGTGTAGACTGCTAAATATCTTCTATGACAAGCATTAGATGGATCAAAATTTGGTTCAGAGAAATGTGTATCATAGAAATCTCCTAATGTATTAACGACTATTTGAGGATCTCTCTCTTTTCCAGTTGATAATGATAAACCACGAAAAGCTGGCGTATACGTATGAAAATGCGGTCGGGCAAGTTTCCATATATTCTGACCTTCTCTCATCCACTCTAATCTCAAATTATTTCTTTCTTGTAAATATGATGCTCTTGCTGAGAGAAAAAGATCTTTAGCAATAATAAAATGATTTAAATGAATTTGAGATTTTTCTCGCCTATATATTCTTCTCCTTCGATTCAAATTTCTAGCCATTTGAACAAGATAAGGTGGCCATGGTCTCCTATACGTCCTAGCATCTTCATAAGTGCTGCACCTATCCCACAATGCAGCTATAAATTGAGAAAATAGAGAAAAGAAAGTTTGTTCGTCAAAATTATATACAAGAGCAAGCCAGTACTCATATACACATTGAAGAAAAAGTATGAAAATATTCCAATTTGTTTTACGAAAAGAGGAGTTACTTGAAAACGAATAAGGAGATTGAAAACATACCGGGTAATGGTCCGATGTTCCTTCATCAAGTGTTTCACAATTCCATCCATTAGCATCATGAGTTAATCCGAAATCAATTACAGCTTCTGAACGACGAGAAGTAGGTTTAGATGGAAAAATTATTTCATTTCCTGTCTTTTCTAACCATGATATAATGTGATTTCCATTTACATTATTCGACATACAATTCCAACTAATATGTTTTGCATTAAAATCTCCAAATATGCAAAAAGGTTTATTAATACAATGTACAAAAAGATGAAAAGGGGGAAGAGATCCAGGGGGGATGTATACTGCACCTATTAAAATCGGATTAGGAGTAAGTTGTATTTCTATCAATAGAAAATTTAAATCTCTTTTTACCACATTACATTTTAACGCTTTATGATATAATATTGCTACTCCCCCATATGAGTTGGTACCTTCTTGAGTTATCCACATATAATTTGGGTATATAGGTAATTTTCCTTTAATAGCTGATCCGATCCCAGTAAGAAGAAAAAAGTGTGGAGAATGGTCCGCCATAAGAACATCTAAGTCAGCAAAGTGAGTATTTAAACCTTGTACATTATAGAGAAGAAAAGTGAGGTTTTCATTTACTTCATTCGGTCTTTCTTTTTTCCATTTTACTGATAAAGAAGAAATACTTTCACGTGTGTTCCATTCATTTATGATCTTCAAGAGTAGATCTTTTTCATGGGGAGGAACAAGAAAAGAGTCTACATTTTCAATTATTTGTCTTGGTCATAATAAGTTATATGGTGATGGTTCTTCATAATTATGACTAAGCGTTCTTGTAGAACGTAATAAGATAATATGTTGATGCCAACCTGGTTGAAAATGATTATCAGATAATTGTTAAAGAAGTTTTTCTTCTGATTCGATTATTTTCATCTCAATAAATGTTTTCCATATTAATGTTATTAGAATTAATGCAAAACAAATACTGTCTAATGTTGTTGCTCAATTGAATGGATAAAAATAATCTTGGTTTTCTTTTCAATCATAAAAACCATTTGTACATAAACATGATTCATTAGTTCTTTTGTATAAAGTACAGCATTATTTTATAAACTAAAAAATAGATTTATACAAATAATCATTTTAATAAGTAACCAAAAGAATATATTGATATATCACAACATAGTCTTGTGTCATTTTTTCAATATAAACATCGTCTATATTCATCAGTAATTAAAGCAAATTTGCCTGAATTATTGTGGTGTCAGTTTTTACATAATATTATTGTTATATATTCACAAATAAGAGCAACATTATCTAATGAACATAAAAGAAAAATATTACCTCTATCATTTAATAAAATATTAATTGAGCCATTTCAACGAGTAAATGAATAAAATGCTTGTTGAGAATATTCACATTAAAAACTTGAATAACTTGATTGACAAAGAAAATGCCCACCAACACTTGATAAGCGAACACAAGTATCTAAAAAAAAATTCACTTATTTAATTCTTGTTTTCTTGAGGAAACAAAACGAAACAAACCATTGTTTTTTCAACATAGATTTTCTTGACAAAATATTCGGCATAGTTTTTGAGCAGTTTTATTGTTTTGCATAAAGACCAGTGAAGATAGTTGTTTATCATTGAAATCAAAAATTCAGTTTAAATTAAAATAAAGTTTAAAGGAACAAAATGACCACTATAAGTCAATTTCAAAACAAGTTCACATTAACTATCTTCACTAAGATTCGATTCAAATAGTGTTGTCTT